AGTTCTACAATGTTTACTCAATTGACACGTTTGACAAGAGAAATCTAAAATGGACACTGACTTAAATAGATTTGGAAACACCACTTTCAAAGACTCAAAAGATAAATGACCAAGGCGACAATGCCATAAATAAACTTGACTCTTACAGGACTGACTCTTAGACTCTGTAACATGAAGACCAGCATTATTCTCCAGCAATGTAAAGTCCATCAACCATACGTCCTCTACCAATCGTCCTCCCCGAGGCCAGATCCTGGATCACACAGTAAGAAGGGAAAAAGGTCACTGAGCAGTTTAAGGAATTAGTAACACTACTAACAGAGAACAAATTAATGGGAAATTTTGGAACATGTAAAACATCAGAGAGGGTAAGGCCGAGGGGAAGAGAGATGGTTCCTTGACCAGCTATGGAAGCATATGATCCATCAACTAGTCTCACCTTGTCTCTTCCAGAAAGAAGGTGATAGGTTTGAAAGTAAGAGGACGTACCAGTCATGTGTTTTGACGCTCCAGAATCAATGATCCATGGAGAGTCAAGGGTATGAGAAGCAACATGGAAAGTTGTGGCAGAGTTACCTGATGTAGACGCAAAAGAGGTTGAGGGAGGAGCATCCATCTGACGAATTGCTCTAGCATAGAGCTCTAAATGGTCACGGAAGGAATTCATAATATCCTCCCTTGGGTCAGATCCAGATGAATGCGTCTGAGTTACAGTATGGATGGAGGGCTGATTCTCTCAAGTAGCCATGTTGGCCATAGTGTGTTTCTTTGTACCTTGCTGTCCTGACCTTTTATTCATATCTGAACTTTGCTTCTTATTCAGATCTTGAGCCCATTTCGGCTTTCCATGAAGATCCCAGCATGTATCTCGGGTGTGTCGAGGCTTCTGGCAATGAGTACACCACAATTTATCTTTGTCATCCATTTTTTTCTGAAGATCTCCTTTCTTGGAAGAATTTCCTCCACTAGTAGTAACACTCCCTTTCGCGGCCAACACAACTGCATCTCCACCAGAACTGTTCATCAAATTCCTTCTGCTTTCTTCAGATTGTACAAGAGCATAAACTTCTTGAACAGATAGAAGATCCTTAGAACCGAGGATCCGGACCCTGATAGACTCATATGTAGGGTTCAAACCATGTAAGAAAGCAAACACTCTCTGTTGGGAGACGAGTTTTTTGTACAATTTTGCATCTTCATGACACTTCCATTCCACACACTGATAATGATCCAACTCCTTCCAGACAGAAGTCAAGTCAGAGTAATATACAGATAGACACCTCTCCCCCTGTTTACAAGTAGACGATTCTGCTTGTATTTGGTAGATTTTTGCATAGTGTCGCAGTTCCGAATATGTTGATTTTGCTTGATCCCAGATCTCATTTGCCGTTTCAGCCCATATAAAATTCCTCCTTATTTGAGGTTGCATAGAGACTAAAAGCCAAGACATAACCATGCTGTTTTCCTGATTCCATCTATCATATTCAGCACTCCCAAAATGTGGTTCTTTTATTCTCCCATTAATATAACCTATCTTCCCCCTTGCAGTGATGTACAGCTTGATCCCTCTTGACCACTCTAAATAATTTRAACCATCAAGAGGGACAACAGCCATGGGAAAGGATAGGTCCACACCCCCACTCATTCCATTCAGCGTTGAGGAAACTCCGGATGTAGCAGAATCATCACCACTCATGATTTCAGATTCAAAAAACAACACCCAAAAGAGGAACACAGCCTTAAAAAGTTGTACAGAAGGTACCGGCCACTTCCAGACCTTCAGTCCACCAAAAAATAAAAACTGCTGTTGCAGCACATAAACAAGGTCCTTACGACCTACAGTTTCACAGGGATCAAACGGCCCCACAAAAAAGGAAAAGAAAGAGGTGCAGCTCACCTCACATCCAATCGGCAGACCTAGTACAGGTCCACCGCAGGCACACGACCAGAAAAGAGAAGAGAGTAAAAAAAAAGGTTACTTCAGTCGAACATCAGGACAGCCGAACAGCAGATGAACAGCAGATGATAACTTCTGAAAATCTGTCACCCTCGAAACAAAGTCTTCTACATGCTGGAAATCTGGTGCGAAGAAGAGGAAAAGACAGACTGCTCGACTTCACCCTTCAGACCTGGACGTCCTGCTCTGATACCATGTTGTACAGGAAGAAGAGAGAAAGGGAGAGACGAGAGGACTGAGAGCCCAAAAAAGGTACTGCAGGTGGCGCAATATGTTATATTTATATTAGGGCGACAACTAAACATAAAGAAAAGGAAAAGTACAATAGTACACCTGCGGTACTATACACATATAAAATAACATCTGTTAACAGGTTTAATGATTAGGAGATTCCGCAGATTATAGATCTGCTATCAAGGTTACAGGGCTTCAAGCTAAATGTGTTAGCTCCAGATCAGTGCTATTGGGGTTGGTCAAAGGCTGAAGTCTTTTCAGTGAAATCCTTTTATTCCAGCTTGGAGCCTGCCTCCCTTAGCTCTTTCCCCGATCATTTAGTGTGGGGTAGTGTGGCCCCCTCTAAAGTCAAGTTTTTTGTTTGCATGGCTGCTGAAGAGAAGTGCTTGACGAAGGTAATGCTGATTAGAAAAGCAGTGCTATCAGATGTAATCTGTGTTTTATGTGGTAAGGAGGAAGAAACTTCAAGCCACCTGTTTCTCCACTGTGAATTTTCTTCAAAAATCTGGGCACAGATTCTCAAAGCTATTCAGTTCTCTACTTGCTTGCCTATCTCAGTAAAGGCCCTTCTAGAAAGTTGGGAAGTTGGGGGTATGAGCAGAAAAGGCAGGATTTTGTGGAAATCAATTCCTCTAGCAGTGCTGTGGTCAATTTGGAGGGAAAGAAATAGGAAGATTTTCGACCAGAAGCAGCTTCAGGTTGGAAGTGTGATTAATTTAATTGTAGATGACCTCAGAGGGTGGCTGAGTTCCAATTTGCTTTTCAAGGGGGATGTTCTGGCTTCTTGTATGGCTGTAAATTTTTTTGAGGGTTCTTAAAGCTGTTTTCAGTTGTACAAGATCTTGTACAGTGAGCAGTTTTGCTTGCTTTTATCCTTTTGATTAATACAATTTTACCTTAACTTTTCAAAAGAAAAAAAAAATCTCTTCAGAACCCAAACTAAAATCTCCTTTATCCTGTAGAGGCATTGGATATCTTTCTTCCAAGCTTTAAACATTTTTCTAGAAAAATCCTCCTCTCCAAGAATATGTAACCCCAAGGCTTCACTTGTACCACAAAGTTGGGCAAAAACGAAAATTTAGAGAAAAACTTGATGTAAGTACTATTTTTTTGGGTACATGGATGTAATTAAAAAGAAAAATAAAATAAATATAACATCATAAACAGAGAATCATCACAGAATATGAGAAGAGATCTAACCTGGAATGGATAATGCCTACTAAAACTCACTCTTTTCCCCTCCACTCCTAGGCCAAATAACCAGAAAGTAAATTAACTGATTTTCATATCCAGTGGAACACGATGTTCAAACTAGAAGTAAAATATCTAGCTCTCTCCAATATGATGCCAAAGCAACCATGCGTTATCAATTGTAATCTACCCTATCACCACCTGACGTCCTGCTCTACCTCCACCCTAGAGAATCCAAGGAAATGTCATTCTCAAGCCCTGAAGAAGTGACACAAGCCTGCTCTGATAGAACTCCCATATCTGATGGGTCCTGAATACCAGAAAAATAGTTTCTCCATGGTCTCTAGTACCAAGGTTGGAATCCAAAAATGTGATATCTTGAAAAATATTTCAGCAAAGTACAAGGTTGCCACCGACTTTTCACCCAAATAAAGTGTGAATAGGCAACCTTTGTACATTATAAAATAACTAGCTAGGCTCCTTTTTCTTCATTCTTTTCAAGTAAATTTCATGTTCACTTGTCATGTGCAAGCAGAACATGCAGAAGAGTGATATCCTGCTAAACATCACTAAACGATATTTTTTTATCATATAGGTCTTGGGATGACGATGGAAAGGAAGTAATACCACCAGCAAAGAGTAGAAACAAGAAAAAGGAAGCTAACCATACCTTGTGATCAAATTCAGCCATATTCAGAACTATAGGTATAATTAGTGGTTTAGCAGGTGGCTTTTCTTTCTTCACAGGGTGGCTAGAATTTGTTTCTGGACTTCTAAGATCTGCACCTACAGGATAAAAGCATCATTAAATCAAAAGTACCCAATTATATGCTGAACCTAAAGGATAAGTGACTGGAAGAAACAATAAACAAAACCAAAAATAACAATTGGAGAACAATAAGAATATAGTGAATGTCTAAGAATACAACCTCGATTCTCAGAAGCACTTCTTTCCAGATGTAGAGATGCTAGACTATCTGAAACTTCTTTCACCTGGTTGGCAGGTAGAATGCTACTACTCTGGTTGGAAACTCTACGAGCCTTGCTTGCACAGCATTCTTTTTCCTTTGCAATATCATCCTCACTGGTCATAGGCAAAGGTTTTGGATCTTCTTTTTTTGCAAATAAATCTGTTGGTTCTTTATTCTCATCATCCATTAAATAAATACTTGGATCCAAATGGATTCCCTGCTAGAATTGTAAGAATATGTGTTATATAAATATATTTCACTATGGATGCAGGTGATTCAAGAAACCCAACTAACATATGTATTGAAGTCAAAACACATTTTTCTTGGTTATCATGCTTCAGTGATATAACACATTTAGAATAAGGGAGAATCTAAAAGTAAGGGATGCTTAGTGTAAAGGTAAAATCTCAGGCTGACAAGTGTATGAATGCAGATTCAACTCTGAGAGCATCCACTGTCCCAAACAAATGCCAACGGTTAGCTCCATATCCAATGCACCTCTCCCAAGAGACCAGATAAGCTGGAAATATATTGGGTAATGGCCTTTTTAGAATACTTACAGGAAGGGGATTAAGGGAGATTGAAAGCCAAGAAGCTATGGCATTTACCAATTTTTTGGAAGGAACATTTATTAATCCTACTAAATCTGATTTCATAATTTGGACTCTTAATTTTTTATTGGAAAATAATTTACTCTTAATCCTTCAGGCCTCTTTTCTTGTGCATCCTTCTTTATTGGTCTTTCATTGGATGCTAACTACAATTTATCATGTCCAATAAAAAGCTATCTGGGGAGGACCAGGTACCACCAAAGGTTAGGGCTTTCAATTGGAGGTATTCCATATCAAAGTTAGTACTTGGAAGATGTTGCAAAGAAGACCATACTGGTCTATTTTCCCTCACATTTAACTTCTATGCACAACAAGCGGTAAAACTCTTTCCATCTGTTACTTTCTTGCAACTATGTGACTGCTATTTGAAAACATTTCTTCCCATTGTTTGGTTGTAGTTAGTCTCCTATTTGAATCTACTATCTTCTTTCCTGCCAGAAAAAAGAGGGAAAATCCATTGGAGATGTACGAGGGCAGATGTTTTGTGGTGTGTTTGGGTCCTTTGGGAAAAGAAATGTGAGGCTGTTTGGGGATATGGACAGGGAAAATGAGAATAATTCATAATGTCGCTATCAAGGTTGTACATTGGGTTAAAACTCTGGACATATTTGCTCCTTTTACCATATACGGTATCAGCAGGAACTAGAAAACAGTGATTGATTCCTCCACATGGAAGCTGCAAATAATTGCTGTTTGGTTCCTCCACTTAATCCTTTTTCAAGTTAAACTTTGAAGACTGCATCTTAGGCAACCCAGGAATTGGAGGAATGATTAGAAACAGTGAAAGGGAATATAATTGCTCTATTTTCAGGTCTGATTGGAGTCAGAGATTCTACTTCTACAAGGGCAGAGCTTACTGCTACTCTGATAGGCCTAATAAGAGCAAAATCTTTGTACTGTACAAGTGTCACCATTGAAGGGGACTCCCAGGTAAGTTGGCTGGAAAGAAAGCAGGAGGGGACATGGTGTTACAGGCATATGAGTGGATACCTTGAGCTGCTAACCATTTTAGTAGATTGTAAATCTCAATAGCAGGGGTTATTAGCTGGGGTATCTACCCATCTAAGCACACTTTGTACTCAAAACTTTTTATATTATTACTAATATGATATGGTTAACAGCTACTAATCAGAAAAAAAAAAAAAGTAATTTAGCCAATATCATACATATTGTTTGGTATTTATGCGAGGTGAACTGATATAGATCATTAAGATTTAATAAATATGCCTATTCATTGACAAGTAAAACTATCTACCACCTATAATTCTTTGCCCTTTGATGGCCATTTGATGGAGTGGTATCAGATAAATGTCTTTGACTTCATTAATAAGGAATTAACTAAAAAGAAAGGAAATATTGGACATTACAGAATAAGCCATTTATTTCTTATTTGTCAAGTGTTTGCTATAAAGATTATGTTGCTGTCATAAGTCATAATCCTTCCATTTGCTTCTAATATTCACAATATCATGCAGAGACCAATTATTGTGCAATATAAATTCCAAGTGATGTTTCAAAAGTTCCTTCATGAAGTAGCAACTTAATTTTGATATTGAAGAGATATGGTGAGCTGAGTTTCCCTCTTTTTGTACAATTTTATGAAACACAAAAAGAACGGATGAAAACTAAATCTTAGATAACCCCAGAGGTGCTAAATATATGTGTTTCGAATGCTGCTACAGTAACTCGAACCAGGAAGAGAAGGAAGAAGAAGAGGAAGAAGAAGAGAAGAAGAAGAAAGAAAATAAGGGTCTGTCGAAATCTGACGGACTACCCATTCAGTCAACCCCCTTAATCTTAATTAGATTCTAATAACCTTTACAAAGACTAAATTGCCCATACTTAAGTGTGGGGCAGAGTACTCTAATAAAACTGCCACATAAGCAAACTACTTAACACACATAAGATGACTAAACTACCCCTATTCGGCTCACTTTAACACTCCCCCTCAAGCTGGAGAATATATGTCATATAA